AATTAAGCATTGGTCTCCCATAGTAGCATACATTTAAATCATGATAAACACAGTTAAAACCACACATATAACACCTCAATCCAATGGTAAAAATATAACGTATGTTATTTAGGTAGCCTATTTGTATGAAAAACAGTAGTCTAAAAACATTTAGTATAAATGCACACATGCTATAGCTTAATCACAAATACGTACTATAATTACCATTACTCCTGTATTAAAATTCAGTGTGAATATCCCAAGTTTCTGCCACAATACCTTGGTGCAGTGAGTGTTACTACAGTAAATCCATGGTAAATGATGGCGATGTGTAGATTGAAAAGCCTTCTGACTGTCTCGTTGCACACAGTGTTTCTCCTGTTTGGCTTTAAACTAGTTTAAATCACTAAGTCATTTGTGTTCATCGCTGAATTCAAGCAGTGGATCTCACAGCACCGTTTAGTGCTGGCGTGACCGAGTAAACGCATCTGCTCTAGTGAGCTCGTGCCGCGCGACAGTTTGAACTTTGATCCGAGCGGATAAACGGTCTGTGTGGCGCGCTTCAAATGAGTTGCGCGGTTTCGTTCCGCTTTTGGCGCATAAACATTATATCAAACATTTATTGAACTCTTCATATCGTTTTATCGAGGAAAATTATATCGCGATAATTATCGTTATCGAATTATCACCCAGCCCTAATTCAGACTGGTATCTACAACAGTATATTTACTAAACAAAATATGAACAAACAGATTTGCATTACACAAAGGAAATTAGTTCTTTAAAAAAAAGGAGAATTTTTGGTAAATCCTATAGTTCTTTAAGAAAACAGTGAGTTTTTGGTAAATACACAACAGAAAATATAAAACTAAAAATAATACTAAAACTGAAAATAATACTAAAAATAATAATAGTTAAAAAGTTACTAAGCAGACAAATATCAGTTAAAAGGTTAAATCAGATCAGTTAAATCAGATTAATTTGAATGAGAAAAGAATCCTGAGTGTGTACATTAATAACGGTATATGGTTATAATTTGATAAAAATGAATTTTAATCCATCACAATTTTAAATCCATTACAAAAAATATTCACAGCTACAGAAACATCTACTGTAATATCATAAAGTTTTAAGTAATTGATAGATATAAATTTTAAAAATATATATATAAACAGAAAATATGCATATAAATAAATAATATAAATATATTACATAAAGAAAATTGAGACAAAAAAGGCATGAAGAATTTCAATAAAGCAACTCCTTATAATTAGTTTCAATGCAGAGATGAATCAAGAGAGTGATGTGCCGGTAAACTTACATGTACACTGAGCTTCCTGTTGCCTTCACCCCGGTGTCCCATGAACCAGTTCACGAGTTCAGCCTTGGTCATGAGTTTCAGTGCATCAATCTGTTGTACAAGTAGAAAAATATGACAATGTCCAAGTATATTGCCACAATTCATCATTAACACATTGCTGAACTGTCAGCCTTTGCTCATGTGCAACAGGGCTCCTCACCTCTCGGCTGAGTCTGTCGAAGACGTATTGCTGCGTGACTACCTCTGTCCAGTTCCTGTTCACCTCCTCGCCAAGATGGGTGTCTTCGCAACCCTTCAGCTTGACGAGAGCAGTCACCTGGGTCTTAAAAGCCTCACGACTCAAGCTGTTCATCTTTTCTCCGAAGCTCATCAGAAACTCCTCAATCTTTGTCTCCACCAGCTCAGTGCTAGAATGCAGAAAGTGAGCGCAGAATGGAGAAGAGAGTTTTGCCCATTTAACACCACTCTGAAATATTTCAGAGCCCAAATTAATGGTTTACATTATTTACTATATGTGGAAGCCTTTTTTGCAGCTTGCAGCAAACTGAACACGAGAGAAAACACTTTTAAAATGCACTACTGTTTTAGCATATCAGGGTTCCCACACTTACTGACCTACACTACCATTAAAAATGATTTTGAAAGAAGTCTCTTATGCTCACCAAGGTTGCATTTATTTGATAAAAATACATTAATACATTAATAATACATTAACACATTTTCAAACGTAATTTATGTGAAGCTGAACTTTTAACAGCCATTACTCCAGTCTTCAGTGTCACATGATTACGATACATTTATTATTACTAATGTTGAAAACAGTTGTGCTGCTTAATATTTGTGGAAACTGTCATACTTTTTTCAGAATCCTAGTAATTTCTTTCAGAAAAACAAACTTACTGACCCCATACTTTTTAACAGTAGTTCTATTTTTCCAGTGGTTTGTGAAGATTTGTAAAAGTACTTTAATAGAAACCAATTTTTTTTTCTAGCTAAAGAAATACTTTACAATGAAAATAATTTATTACAAATATCAACTACATAAATTTCTATGACTTAAGACTTTTTTCCATTTACATGACTTGTGTAAAATCACAATTCCCTTATATTTATTACTGTGGTAGCCCTAATATACAGTATATTAACACAACATTATAAGATAGACTTAATTTATGAAGCAATAAGATGTTATGCATGATGTAAGTACATGGATGTAGGCTGTATTTCACTTCAGAAATAATAAAAAGAGCCAATCAGTGTAAAGTAACACTGCAATTTAGTCGAGCTAGAGGTGGAGATAAAGGTTAATTATGATTCTGAAGTCAAGAGGCAGCAGCTGCAGCACATAAATCAGATAATTCTGATGCAGCAGTGAACTGCAACCAAAATGCACAGTGAGAACTCACTTGAACTTGGTGGCCTGAGTCTCTACTGTGACTGAGAATCCAAGGACACCTGATGTGTTTCTACAGGTTGGGTAGACATGATATCTGTGAAAACAGATGGAGTACAACTAATTAAAACCAGCAACTGGAGCAAGATAAATGTCTTAATGTCATCTCTGCACCACAGACTTACCCCAGTGTCTCTTTGGTTCGGAGGAAGTCAAAGCATGGCTCCTCCATGTGCATCTACAACACAGCAGCCACAATGATAAAACATGAGTTAAAAAAAACAGTTAATATAATGCCACCCCTGTAGGAACATGCTTTAGTCTGCAGCCACAGCAGTAGAATTGGACAGAAGTCTGATATTGGATTTAGCTGATGTAAGGTGCAGAGGAGTAAGAATTTCTGATTAATTGGTTAATAGCTTTTAAAATTGCTATATTTAATGTGTGAAAAATAACAACATTTGCTTAGTTTTTCTTTAGTGAAGCTTTAGTTTCATATGCAAACAGAAATCCTACCTTAAAAAAAAAAAAACACAATGAAAAAAACATTTGTTTCAGCCGATATCTGGTACTTCGCAAAGCTGTTATCAGCAGCGATTCATCCTCAAAAATAAATAAATCGTTGGACCTTTAGAACAGTACATTACACTTTACAACGAGAGCCGACTCAGTGTTCTAAAGTAACTGCTGAGAAAGACAGAGAACTGGACAGCATCCAAAGTCAGTCTTCAGTATAAAAGTAAAGTGGATGAGTTGAGCTTATGGCCATGCAGATGTGTGTGCTCAGCGCCCTAGAGAGCAATAATTGAGAACTTCTTTTGAATCTGGCAGGAGGGACTGACTTGATTGCTTAAAAAACCCTGGGGCAGCTGTTCCTATACTTTTTATACATATATAAAGTTACAGTAATGTTTACTGTAAGCGATACCCTTCTGTAGTCAGCCACCAAAACTGAGTCATACTCACCACTAGTAGCTCCATAAGAGTGTGTTCACGCAGGTTCTTAGGACCAGACTACCAAAAGACAGAGGCAGATATTAAGGACAATCACTGCTAATTTAGGAATACGACATAAAAAAGGTGAATGTGCCTAGATCTCTTGTCCATTTTGCTGATCTAAACCACAAAACAAGTTTTACCTGGTAATACACAGTGACCTCAGAGTTTGCATCTCCCTTGTTGAGAGTCTTCACTTTGCACAGATGATGTTTCTGAGGAAGTTCTACCACTCTGAAGAGAACAGGGACCTCTACTGACAGCTTCTTGAATTGCAATTTGCTGAAAGTGAAAAAAAAAAGCTATATAAAACTTTTTCCATTTTTTTTTTATTGTGGTACTGGTATATAAAATAAACTGGTGAAAAAAAGTGCTTACTCTGTAACATACTGCAAAAATCCCATGGATTCCTACATGTGATGAGAAATTAAAAATGACAAAATCTTAACAGACCAACTGTAGTTCTGACAGAAAACTTAAAGCTTTTTACTTTTACAAGTATTATATAATTTTATAATATTCTAGGTGTACATCAATAAAGGTAAGATCTATCAGAAGCAATTGCTCAGAGTTTGCATCTCCCTTGTTGAGAGTCTTCACTTTGCACAGATGATGTTTCTGAGGAAGTTCTACCACTCTGAAGAGAACAGCGACCTCTACTGACAGCTTCTTGAATTGCAATTTGCTGAAAGTGAAAAAAAAAGCTATATAAAACTTTTTCCATTTTTTTTATTGTGGTACTGGTATATAAAATAAACTGGTGAAAAAAAGTGCTTACTCTGTAACATACTGCAAAAATCCCATGGATTCCTACATGTGATGAGAAATTAAAAATGACAAAATCTTAACAGACCAACTGTAGTTCTGACAGAAAAATTTAAGCTTTTTACTTTTACAAGTATTATATAATTTTATAATATTCTAGGTGTACATCAATAAAGGTAAGATCTATCAGAAGCAATTGTGGGATATTTTGAACCTGGAATGTTCTTGAAAAACAAATACATGCAACGTGTATATAAAACGTGAGAAAACTCACAGTGCAAGTGAAGTTTCCCTGCACTAGTCCTTCAGCATATAGCTCTGACTTGAAGCTGCTCACAAACTCCATGAGCTCGTCCACACTGAGCCCATCCAGCACAGCCTGGTACTTCTGAATGGTCGACCAGCGAGAGTGCTCTAGAATCAGAAGCCTCACGTCTCTGAGGAGACATATATGGACAGACAGAGAGCGATGAGTGGAAGACCATGCATTTTTGAAAAGATATACATAGCAATAGCTATATAGACGCTGGCATATGGGACTGCAGGGGTTGCAGTGGGACCCATGGTGTTCCAAGCCAAATATATTATGCTTCATTTTGCCTATTCTAGAGCAGTTTTGACACTACATCACTATCTCTGAGGAGACATATATGACAGACAGAGAGCGATGAGTGGAAGACCATGCATTTTTGAAAAGATATACATAGCAATAGCTATATAGACGCTGGCTTATGGGACTGCGGGGGTTGCAGTGGGACCCATGGTGTTCCAAGCCAAATATATTATGCTTCATTTTGCCTATTCTAGAGCAGTTTTGACACTACATCACTGTAGAAGCTGCATCAACGTGCCATATGCTACCATTCAAAAGTCTGGGGTCAATAAATTTTTTGAGCACCAAATCAGCTTATTAGAATGCTTTCTGAAGGACCATGCGACACTAAAGACTGCAGTAATGGCTCCTAAAAATGCAGATTTGAATAGTAATACATTTCAAAATATATTAAAACAGGAAACAGTTCTTTTAAATTGTAATAAGATTACTGTTTTTATCCAGTATTTTTTATTAAATAAATGCAGACTTCGTGAGCAAGGACTTCTTTCAGAAACATGTTTTAAAACATCTTACTGACCCCAAACTTATGAACGGCAGTGTATAGACTAGTATTTACACAGATGTTTTAAGGTGGCATTTATTTATACAAAATCACAATTGCAAGAAAGAAATGTCACATGCTCGAATGTTGCAAACCATAATCTTACTGACCCCAAACTTATGAACGGCAGTGTATAGACTAGTATTTACACAGATGTTTTAAGGTGCCATTTATTTATACAAAATCACAATTGCAAGAAAGAAATGTCACATGCTCGAATGTTGCAAACCATAGAATGGCAGTGTAAAAACGCTGTAAATATGCTTGAAAGACTTGCATTCCATCAGATTTGCATTTTCTAAATTAAAGAAAACTTTAAAAATTAACAAAAAAATTGATAAGAGTGCCGGTGTACGATGTCACTACTTGTGGGCAGGGCTATAGGTGTTTATAAAGTGTAAGTGCAGTAAAGGAAAAACGTGAAGGAGACACACTTTCCAAGCTTTTCAGGCTTGATGAGGATGTTAAAGTAGGTTTTCTTCAGCTGCTCTGCAAACATGCTGAATACATCAGGAGCAGCGGAGAAATCAGCAAGATAATCCACGATCAGGTTGAACAGCAACTGCAACAAATGTCAGAAATGAAAGAATTATTTTTAAATTTTTTTAATTAAACCATTTTCTGTATACAACTTGATATGAGCTTGTTACTTACTGGTAGTTTGTGGTTGAAGCCCTTAACCTTGATGACAAGACCATGCTCCCCTGCAACCAATTTATATTCTAGCTGGGCCACATCAGCCTCGTAGGCTGGCTCTGCCAAGTTATGCACCAGGATATTCACAAACAGGTCAAAAAGCACCAGGCTAAGTGGAGGTGAGAAGAGAGAACAAAAAGAGAAGGTCAGATGGAAATGTAAGTGGATGAACAAGAATAGAAACTAGAGATAGTGATTCCTGAGACCTGAGCAGACACACTAATAGCTGTGCAGCATTTACAAGATCTGCTCGAACGACTAAGTTTTCACATGATCTTCAGCTTACTTTTTTGCAGACTTCTGAACCACAGGTGATATAAGGTGGAACTGCACGTACGCTGCAGGAAGAGAGATAAAACGTAAGTGTGAGCTGGGTAATTGAGCAGAGTTACAGAAAGAGATTTTTCGTACTTCCCACTCAATCTATTTTACTATTGGACATCGGAGACATGATATATTGAGTGTAGAGACAAATACAATGACACCTTTGGGGATCTTGAACTTGTTGTCCTTCTTATACCACAAACACCCTCTGTCATTGTTCATTATTCTGACAGGGTACTCTGTGTCTGGACAGTCAGAGGTTTTGAGGGTGAAATCAGTGGCTGGAGGTGAAAAGAGACAAGAACAATGGCACATGGTCTTGAAACAGGCTACAGAAACAGCACACAGCAACAACATTAAAAGACATCAACTGAAGACACCCACCGATGAACTTATTTTCAGCAGGTAGGTGAAGGCTTGGGTTTAAATCGAAATCTCCTGCCCAGAGCTCTCTCCAGTGCTGCTGTATGTCTGTAAGGAAAACAAAAATCATGGTGCTTTTGTCTCCAGAGTTGCACAATATAGAGGAAAAATGCTTAATGGTATTTATTGCATAATGTGATAAACCTAAGATTAATTAAGAATACATTTCAAGTAGATCTGAAACCAGGAAATAATTACTTCCAATAAGCATGTCAGCTTTCAAAATTTTCAACTTCTCAAGTGCATCCGAGTAAGAAATAACAAATCTTTTACTAAAGCAACAGGCAGAAACAGCTTGTTGTGCTTGGACTTAAGATGTATTTCCCATTTGAGTAACCACCTACAATCTACTAGTATACTAATATCAGTTATCCTTTCCTGCAGTTATGTTCAAAACCAAAATACTCCTACACAACCAAGGTACTTCTTAATGTTGGCATCAGATATTCTTTTAAAGCTACAGTGGCTACACTGACTCATTTTGATAAGCTAGAGCACATTCACTTCAAACTGGTATTAATGCTGCTTGTTTTAAGTGTATGTAAATTTATATAATTTTGTGATTGAGCTTATTGCGACAAGTAAATCTGCAATGTTAACAATTCAGCACTGGATTCTGACATTCACTTCCAGACTAATCTAATACGGACACAGATTCTAAGATATCAAACTTTAACTTCTCATCCTGAATATTGTATTTTAAACTGAATTGAAATAGGGAGTTGAAAATATGTACAAACCCTCTTCACTGTACTGAGTCCCAAACCACTTTTCCCTGAGTGGGCACTGGCCTTCATGCTCAGGAGACAACAGGAGCAAGTTAGCCTTCTCTGGTGTGAGGAGGTTCAGTGCAACAGAGATCACCTAAGAGAAAAAAAGATTTTCTTTCACTTGGCATGCTAAAATAGCACAAATATGTACCCATATTTTTCAAAACCTGTAATAAATCAAAATCAATGCTGCATGTGATGGGCAACTACCTCCGGTTTGAACTCAAACATTAGCTGGTCTCCTGTTAAAAAGTCTTCTTTTGGGAACAGCTGCAGGTTTTCACAGATATCCTCCACATACTCAATAGGATCAGTCTGTAAAAGCAACACTGTAAGTACAGAGTCTACAAACAAATACTCCTATCCATCTCTTTTCAAATTGCTTCTAATAGCCTGAAATACAAAAACACTCCATTGTTGGTAAGAAACAACTAAGCGTTCATAGGCTGACAACAGTGTAAAATGCTTAAAGGGTACTTTGTTTCCTTTGCTCCTGCATTTCTCAGAGGCGCACGCACATCCTACATCATCCGCTTGAAAGTGAGAAAAAAGTGTTTATTATGTTTGAAATACGGATATTTATCTTACAAAAATGCATGGATTCGCTACAGGAGGCCTTTATTTAACCCCCGGAGACGTGTGAGGGACGTTTTATTACGGATGCATGCACTATTTCACGTCTTCTGAACTGTTGACAACCAACACCCGCTTACCCGAGCCCAAGAGTCTGAAGCATTTTCAAATACTGGAAGACGAGATGAGCAACCTGAACGAAGAAAACCATCCAAATTACCATGGATGCATTTATTCTGAGTGGGACTAAACTTTACAGCAATCGTGTCGTTATAATTTAGGATGGAAAAGGGGTGTGTTTGTGCCTCAGAGGCTTTGTAATCCTATTTTACACATATCTAGCTAAGCTGTTAGTTTCTCAGCTTCCCCACATATTTCTCTAATGACATTAAGTGTGAAAACAATATTATATCTTAAGGATGCTTGTAAATATAGTGCATAATTTTGACATGCACTAGTAGTGTAGGATCACAGAAATGTAAAAGAATGGAAGGTCTAGACTGATGACCCTTGCAGACCTCACAGAAGTTCTGGAAGCCCTCATCAGTCAGAGTTATGGAGATACTAAAAATTGAATAGGTGGTGTTCTGATCAAAACCAGTCTCACTGTTTCCGCCAAACAAAGCTAGAGCCCAGCACCTAGACCGAGAGAAAGAGATTCAATTTCCCAGTTTCTGGGGTAAGTGCAAAATTGATGCTACATGTAGAGATTAGTTACAATGAAAGTAGAACCACCTTGCCATTTATTAAAAACCAAATCATGAGAGAAAGGACTCACTTCCTCCTAAGCATGGACAAGATACTTCCAGTTCCCTCGTGGCCAATCAGCCAAGCAATGTAATGCAGAGGCTTTACCCTGAGGACCAACATAAAGAGTTTTTGTTAAGCATCATATCTGAGAAATAATATTGGCATTCCAATACAGACCATATTGGACCAATACAAAATCAATATGTAAAGTTTTTTATGAGTGCAGTTTTGTTCTGTAACATATTTGCTACTGATAAAGGAAGTTGAGGTGAGACATATCAAAGACATGGATATACAAAGATGCCCTCAAAGTGAACAAAGACTTTCAAAAAAAAAAAAAAAAAACCTCCCAATTTTGATTTTCATTTGTTTTTAACAGCACTTTTGAAAGATGTTTTATGAATGAATGAAAGTAAAAATGACTGATTACTAAACCTGTAGTGCTTCTCTTGCGGGGGTAGAGCCCATGTGATGGTGAGGGCATGTACTTTTCTAACAGGCACCACTGCAACAGACAACAAACAAAACATTAATAGTAGGTTCTAGAGTTTCATTAAACCTCATTTGAACATTAAGTTCTACTACATACTTCGGTAAAGTTTGTTGAAAGCAGGTGTTTCAAAGGGGCTCAACTGGTCTGAAAAATCAGGTTTCGGCTTCCCACTGAAAGGCATTGAGAAACTCATTAAAAATAAACATTAATATTATGAAAGGCATTGAGAAACTCTTTAAACACATTAATATTTTCACATTTTACAGATATTCAAATAGGACTTGGATTGAGCTTACTTGTTGGGTACCTGACTGAAGATTTCTCTAACCCATTCCTCAAGGGTGTCAAGACTCTCTATGAAGGTAAGAGAAGAAGAGATTTTAGGATCATTTTCTATTAGAAATGCCATATCCAAGTTAAGTCCTGCATACTGTACCTACCTTTAGACTGCACAGCTAAGGTCATATAGTGGGCAGAGTAGTACCTTTTCCAAAACTCACGGAGCCGCTTGTAAACATTGATATTCTTTTCCCTAGGCTCAGTCTTCAGGGTCTGTGCATTTCCTTAAATACAATCACAAGACCATCAAAAAAACAACAACAACAACAACAACTTTAGAATAAACCCAGAAGCTGCTCTAAAGCAGCTTTTGACATGTTTGACTTACCCCAGCAGAACTTGCTCATGGGATGGTTGGGCTTTGCTAGGCTGCCAAAGAGCATTTCCTTACGGTGAGAGTCTGAAGGCTTAGCAAGCTGATATTCTGTAGCAAACAAAACACATTAGGCTGTTAAACTTCACAGTTGAGATATCAAGAATATTTTTAATCTACAATATAAATGCTTTACTCACCACTGTCCACAGCCTCAACCTCTCGGTCAATGGCGTCTTCAATCATAAGAGGACAGATGAAAAACTGAGCCCATCTGAGATAACATTAAAAAGACAATCACATTCTTTTAAAGCTTATGTATGACCAAACATATAAAGAAATGTGCTTGTTTTTATTTTAATGCTTTTGGTTAGAAAATACTCAATGGGATTGTGTAAAATATTCTGAAAAAAATAGGAAAAAGAGGCCATCAGGATAAGAGGTGATGTGATACAATCACTTTTTTTTAGAGCTGCTTCACCTGTCAAGGGCTTCTTTGAAGCGTTTTCTCTGGACATCAAATTGGAAAATGGTTCTCTCACAATCAGTGGAAGCATTATCACTGCCACCATGCTTTTTAAGGAACGCATCAAAGCCATTTTCAGAAGGGTACTTTTCGCTGCCCATGAACACCACTGGGACATAAGTAGAGAGATACGTTTGACTGAAACATTATCACTGAGAATAAAGCATTCTTGAATACAGTAATGGCAAACAACTGCAGGTGTGACTTACTGTGTTCCAGGAAGTGTGCAAGGCCAGGTAGGTCATTAGGGTCACTGAAACTCCCTACGCCAATACACAGGGCCGCTGCAGACTAATTTCCAAAAAAAAGAAAAAGGAAAAAAGAATTAAACTGCACTGAAATCATTTCAACACACTTAAGCTGATATGTTTATGTAAAAATTATAACTGATAATTTAGTTTTATATTACTTTGTCTAAATAGAAATAGAAAAACACTACAAACTAAGATCAGTCATTATAAATACCACAAATGAATTTAGACATCAAAACATTATAATGTACAGTAATGAGAAATGGATATTCATTTTGAGATTTGCTAAATGTTACATGAACAGGTGCCATTAAATTAAAATGTAAATGTAAAAGATTCCATAACGAAATATCCAATACTGATAAAGATAAAACATAGAAATATAATGTATCCTTCAAGTCACAATGAAATGGAAGCAGTGACAAGTCCGAATGAAACAGATTATTAAAAAAGAAAAAAAGAAAAAACGTATGGTGGACTTTTATGTAATGTATTGTATTGTATTGCAAGATTGTATCTATCAGTTGTTGACTGGATGGAGGTAGAACTGAATGAGTGTTTCAGTCGATTGTAAGAAAGGGGCTGGGTTTAAGCGGACAAATTGATTGGACAAGTTGTTTCACAGGAAGATCGTTATGACAGTTTGGAAAAAAAAAAAAAAGAAAGAAAGAAGGAAACATGGATAAGTAGGATTTTTCTTTCATGCTGACTTTAATATATGTTCAACCAAAATAACATGCAGCCAGTATCAGAGTTTGAATCCCTAGACAACAAAACACAAACCTGTTTTTCAGATCCCTTTTTCTTCTTCCTGTCGTTGTCCTCGTCAAGCTCCTCAAAGTCACTATCTTGACTGTCCCCTTCTTCTTCAGATTCCTCATCCGTTCCTTCCCCCGAGTCTCCCTCCTCTTCCGCTTCCTCTCCCTCCTCTTCTTCTTCCTCCTCCTCTTCTGTATCTTCATCATCTTCAGTTTTCCCATCTAAACCACTCAGATCAGAGATCAGGAGAGCCCTCAGTCCGTTACTCAGCTCAATGTATCTGGATGAAAAGAGAGAGAAAAAAAAAATCTGTTAGCTGGTTTAGTCATCAGCACTTGCATGCAGGGTTGTGTTACACACTCAAAAGATGCAACCGGAGCTTGTCTTTTACTTGTGTGATCTCATATTTCTGCTAACTCCCTGTCCTTAAGTGCCAACATACAATATCATTCATAATGTAAAATGATCTTTTAAAAGGTTTCACTTGGTACTTTATGAACGAGACTATGCTAATCAATAGAACCTAGTTATCACCGTTTAAAATCTGTACATGTGGACTTTACCTGTATTGTTTGGGGTCACTTGGAGATTTAATAATTTGAGGGTCTCCTTGGTTGTCATCTCCACCACTGTCCCCCGGAGGTGCGCTGGGGTCTCTGAGTGCTTCTCCCCGGTCTGGACCAGCAAACTGAGCAGCACTGCTGGCTCCAGCACTTTTGAACTTGTTTGTCTGGGGCATCTTGAGCAATGATGCTACTTTAGCACTGGAGTTGAGGTGAACGGGGCGGTTTATGGCTCTGCTACAAAACAGGTGAAACGTACGCGCAGCCTTGAACAGAGCAATACTGACTTTGTCAGTCGAAAAGAAACGATATATATATATTAGAAACAGGGTGACCATAAAAATAAATAAATTTTGTAATGTATCTTGAATGATAGAATGAGTCGGGTCTGTCTTTTGACGAGGGAATACTTTAACTTCAGATACATATTTTGACAGTATATATTTGTATCATCACCACTGTGCTACAATGAAGCTAATCTGCTAACGTTACATAGTGACACAATATAAACCAAAAACGTCTGATTCGCTTGCTATGGTTAATAAACGGACTTCGCTAATTCGTCTAAAATATGATGCATCCAAGTGTGATCAGTCCCTCACATTTTTTCACAAAGTTAGCCAAGTTTCATCGCAGTCTCATACCTGCTATCCTGATGATGGGTCAGCCGAACTTTACAGCACGCAGCCTGTCACTGGTAGGTTGCGTCTATGCAACAAGAAGAGTTCTGATTCGTCAAAGGTCATAGACGTAGTAAACCACGACTCTATGATTGGCCAAAGTCCTTGCTAAGGCAAATAGCTACATGATGCTGTTTTATCTGTCTCAGCAATTTGCAAGTTTATGTTGTGGTCTGTGGAGGTTCTTACATTTGTCAGCCCACCACCGATTACTAAATTAGCGGCAAAACTGTAATTACATCATGTCTATATTATTTTCTGTCTTTTAGTAAATTCCAGAGACTATAATCCAATCGCCCTTAAATCAATTAGGTTACTTGTTAAGTACAAGCGTGTATACATACTCAGTGATTTTGGAGTTAAATCATTCTGAAGAAAAGGGTGTACAGAATTGGTAAAACATGTATATAACTAAGATGCATTCGTGGCAACTTAAATATACACCTTCCCTTATTAATATACATGCATCTTTTATTTTGATAAGAAAAGTTTATGGACATGCTATACAGTATACACCAACCACTCAAACACATTTATGACTTCATATGACCTTTAGAAGAACTGTAATAATATGTGTGTGTGTGTGTGTGTATAAATATAAAAAAAAAATAGATTTTGTTTTGTATCATATTTGATACATCAGGCTTTTATGACTCATAAAGTAGGGATGCACCAGTATCGGTATCGGGCCCGATAGTGGTCTCCTGTACTCGTACTCGTACTCGTTAAAATGCCCCGATACCAAACGCCGATACCACACAGCATGTGCATCTTTTATTTTGATAAGAAAAGTTTATGGACATGCTATACAGTATACACCAACCACTCAAACACATTTATGACTTCATATGACCTTTAGAAGAACTGTAATAATATGTGTGTGTGTGTGTATAAATATACAAAAAAAATAGATTTTGTTTTGTATCATATTTGATACATCAGGCTTTTATGACTCATAAAGTAGGGATGCACCAGTATCGGTATCGGGCCCGATACTGGTCTCCTGTACTCGTACTCGTGGGGAATGGGTGCATCCCTATCATAAAGTATCATTCAGTGAGAATATGGAGCTCACACTCGAGGAAGAAAAACACATTGGTTTTATTCAGATGGCCAAACTGAGCAAAATATGCAATTTCGTTCAGATGTTATTTATATGTCCAAAGAGTAAGATGAAATTCTGATGAAAAGCTTCTAATGCAAATCAAAATGAGATTTTTATAACAGTAAAACAGGCTGCTTACATAAAGAATCTTGAGCAAATAATCCCAATAAATGTAATGAAATGCATCAGATACATACAAACATACTTCAGTAAACTGATATACACAGGCAGAGCTTAAGTGTTCTTTTGAACCTTTATTCCTTTCCATTTAATCACCAACAGATACCCTGTGAAAGGAGAATGATAAATGCCACACCCATGCCAACCAGATGTGGAACAGTAATACTGGTAAGCTGAACTGTCATTATACGACTTTCAAGAGTTAAGAGTAGGTTAACACAGTGTTTTCAGTCACATATCACATCATTGCTGCTGCTGTGGATGAGACCAGTTGGCTTTCTTGCAAGGTTCTTATTTGCTGATGTTTAGAACAGGTAATCTGTGTTTAGCAATTTAATTCTTGTAAATTGTTTCTATATTTTACAATTCGAAAGCTCTTAAGTGGAGATAATCATAATCATTGGATTCCCTGTATAATCCTGTGTGGGTATTACATGCCCGTGAACCCGTGAACACGCTTGCGTTGTTTAGTAGTGGATGACTGCGACTCTCTCCGTCAGTAGGGGGAGCTCTCGTCGTGGCATATTTTCTGCTTCATTTAGTGTGGCTGCTTTGATGTAATCTTTTAACATTTCAAGTATGATGCTTCACATGATAAGAGGTGATTTCCCTTGGAGCACCACTACTACAACATTTGGAGTTTAGGTCTAGTGCGTTTCAATTTTTAACAAGATGCTTTTGACAAGGAAATGCTAGGCCAGAAAAGCACTCAAACAGACAAACAGATGATACACTGAAAAAGTCCTTGTGAAAACATTTATTTATGTTAAGGATAATAAAAGTATGGCTATAAAAATTTGCTCAAAATGATGACTATAACACAAAATATTAACTGTGCAACATGGACAGTGGAAATGTTTTTGATCATTTGATCATTCAAATATGTTTTAAATGGCTATATACGTTTTATTCTATATTAGAAATGAATGCTGATTTTAATGGATGAACATACACATAATTATAGATGATTAAGTTATTGTGTCCCACTTTACTTATAGTGACCCTATTGAATGGTCCTTAGTGGATTTTTGGAAACAATTAACATGATTTAACATAAGATTCAGTCACGGCATTCACCGGTCAGATATTTCCTACTATTTGCGGTCGTCCATGGCAACACTGTATATCTGATAACTGAACCAGTGCTACTTTCCTCAGAGCACATTAGTATTAATATTATTGTAACATTGCTGCAGTGTTTGAGTTGTTGCTAGGCAGATTGTTTTGTAAATTTTATTATGTAATATAAAATGTGATTTTTATGATATAACAATTATCTGTTTATTTTGTAATATAAAAAATAACTCTAAAAAAATCAAATGCATATTTTTAGCATTTATTTGTTCATTCATGTGACTGCTGCATGAATTAAAAGGGCTTCTAAAATAGCACCCTTCATCCACTGCACTTAATCCATCAGGAGTTTACATAGGGACTCCAAAGGACAGGTTCCCATGGCAACTGATTTATATCCTAATTAAAATAGGAGGGTAGTTTAATTAGCTTAACACTGGTTATTGCTGAAGGCCGGCCGTCCTTGGTGGAGGTCCATGTGTGTAAGGAGAGGGGTCATTGCTCTGTGGTATCCACGAGGTGCACCTAACTAAATAGTAACGGCACTTGTGGATCCAGATAGCACCTCAGTGTCAGCTACGCCCTTCATCGTCTGTTTTCTAAAGCTCTAATTAATGACCAGCTTCAGGCTAAATGAGCTTCAGATGGCCTGACCACCAGATTACATCTCATGATTTTTATTTATTTATTTATTTTTCTCTTGGAAAAATTGCACCTCTAATTGTGTCTCTTCAGTTGTCGCAAATTGAGACAGTTGATTTTGTCAAACAATCTTTGTTGGTTTCATGTGAGGGGGATTTATAACTGAACGAGAGTGCTTGAACTGATTTGTTAATTAGTCAAAGGTGGTGGAAATCATGTAAATCCTCAATATAATCATTCTTCAAACAAAGCTAATCTTTTGTAATAATATTAATTACACACAATTACTTGCTTCAATTGATCAGTATGTGAAAATCATGGCATGGCTATTATACTATTATGGAACGGAAATTGAATTGTTTCTTTGAAGACGATTGAAATATGCTTGAGGTCAGAATCTGGCATTAGTTTTCAGAGACGGTTGGGTTTCTGGACCCCATTACTATCTTGTCAATCACTGTGCCTTCTTCCTCCTGCACAATGTGATGGCTGCAGAAAAATGGATATCCAGCACAACATACCTTTAATAGTGAATAAAGTCGTATAAAGCCTCATAATTTCAACCCCACAATTCCTAATAATTTGTTTGTTTGTGTCTTTTCAGCTTTTCTTCTCTTCAAAGGGCTCTGGTAAATACTCTTTCAGCAATTTGATGGAAAAACACTGCTTTAATCACCTTTAACAGGCTTTAGAAGAGAAGGGAAGCTGCTGTCACAAGCTAATTCACTAGAACATGTTCAGATCTGTAGCCCTGATCTGTGTGACGGCATTAAAGATTTTTTTAAGGATCTTCAGGAAAATGCTTTAATGCTCAAAGGCACAGAGAGCTGCTGAGACAGAGTATTAACTAGCTTTAGCTCGGATTCTCTGTTACCTGTGGGAAATTCACAATAAAGGGAAAAGTAAAGTCGATATGCTTGTGTGTTCAGAATATTACTTCGGATATATGTGAGGAATTTAGTGGTTTCATTAGCCGTTTGCTTTGGTTTTAATGCACAAAACCGTGATTGAAGCTTGCAGGATGGCATATTCCACAATAAACCAAAATGGTCAGATGAGAAATCACATTTATTTATCTGTGCATATCACTGTCAAATGACAAACTCATTATGAAGTAATTAACTGGTGATTTATAAGATAATTTAATCAGCCATATGAGAAATCAGCAAAAGTGGGCATCAAGTCAACATTGTTCATTCTCAGTTCCTAAATAAGCAACATGCCCATGTATGAAGCACCACATTGTTGTGCAATAGCAGATGGCACTATGTTTCCATGGTAACCAAAATAAGGTTTCATTAAATTGTTAGGGCCCTAAAACCGTGAAGGATGATGAATAAGTAACCCAAGAAGCCTCATCGCTCTGGGAACAGTTACAGTATTATTTAATAATACGAGAATGTTGTGATACAAAGTAAATAACCCGCGTTACGCATTATGGGTACAAACAATCTCAACTACTTTCTTTCGCAAATCTAACAAATATGTATAGGAGAGCGAGAGTAACATATTTAAAGCGCGTTAAAAAAAAAAAAACCCCGCTAAACCTGAAACGATGTGTAGCGCGCCGACTGCTGCGTTCATATTCTTCTCAACATCTCGAGCATATTTGGAGCGTTTCATAGCAGGGCTGCGTGCGGGCGGGCGCGCGCTCGGTTCAGTATATTTTACTTGGAAACCGAAGTCCGAGGCAGCGCCATCCTGTGATTTATTTCAATGCCAAGTTGCATACTTGAACCGGCTTAGTTTTTCTTACTGTTTCTAGCCGAAATGTGCTAAGATCTCGCTCATCATCAGTCCTCACAGTGGTGCTGAGCTGTCTTCACTGTTGAGCGCTCGTCAGGGGAGCGGACCTGCATCCTAAAGCAAACCTTTCTGAGACATTGCAGTCCTGTCACGTCTTCGGCTCTCCTATTTGCTCCACCACGAGAGCGGAGAGGAGAAGGAGAAGAAGAAGAAGAAGAAGAAGCGGCGGTGATATGACAAGAAGCAGCATCATTTAAAGTGGTCCATCTTCTGCTCTATTAATTCCACTGCAGCAACCTGAGTGAGTAGCGCACATTTCTGCTCAGTTAATGCCTCTTGATATGGATATGGATCCGGACGCGGGCGGTGGTAAAGGCAGACAAAGGGGAATGCTAATAGATTGCATTTTAGCGCATTGGATTATCATTATGTGTTAATTGTGTCTCTGACAGCGTAATATAATGCAATGAATCGCTCTTGGTTAGCTAATTAACATTGTGTTCAGCTTCCATAAGTTAAGCTTTTTCACGCAGTGCTTGAATGGTTTCCTTATATGTCTGTATTGCATACTCAGTTCAAAGCTGGATAGATCTACATTATTTCAATGACCTGCATGCACATATACTTCTTCAGTAATCAATAGAACCTAGGTCTTATTAACATCACATTCCTAAGTGCCCTGCTGTGCACATTAGCTAATAGGTGCTCCTGGAGGAGGGGAGAAAGAAATATTTTCCATGGAGGTCAAATTGATATTCCAGAGTCATTAGTTGATTTAGAAACTAAAGTGAAACCTCTAGAGAAGTATGATGCCTTTAAATGGATTAAGTCACACTTTGCTTCTTCTCAATATGACTGTAACAAATGCAGCAGGCATACTTTTAAGTCAATATTAAGCTCTGGTGCATTTGATGACATTGGTTATTGAAGCCTTATTCTATATTTCGAGTATATTGTTTGCAGAAAAAAACTGCAGTCAAAGCAGCCAAGCTGCATTCCGCTCTGTCATACAGTATAGATGATAGCCTCACCTATTCTACAGTCATATCACAACTAACTTGTCAAAAGTCAACATCATTTGGATTGAGCAGTGTTCATCATCCTCTATGTATTCACGCCACTAAAACTGTTGTATTTTTTTCAGTGCAGTGAAGGAGCTCTTGAGGCTATGCACTTGCCTGCTTTTGGTGAAAGCATGTTGTGGGTTACACTGCTAAGCACAATTGCACTTGGATGGACAACTCCTATCCCTCTACTTGATGATTCAGAAGAAACAGATGAGCCTTGCTTTGAGCCCTGCTACTGCGAAGTGAAGGAAGGCTTGTTTCATGTTCATTGTGATAGCAAAGGATTTACAAATATTAGCCAAGTCTCGCAGTCATGGCTTAGACCATTCAAGCTCTACCTGCAGAAGAACTCTTTACGGAAGCTCTATTTCAACAGTTTTTTGCACTTGAACAATGCAGTGGCCATTAATCTGGGCAATAATGCCCTGCAGGATATCCATGTTGGGGCTTTCAATGGGTTGAGCTCCCTGAAGAGGTTGTACCTTCACGAAAACAAACTGGAAGTGTTCCGGAATGACACATTTCTCGGACTGGAGAGTTTAGAATACCTTCAGGCCGACTATAATGTTATCAAGAGAATAGACAGTGGGGCGTTCCGAAATCTCCACAAACTCAGAGTGCTCATCCTTAATGACAATTTAATACCAATGCTGCCGGCGTTTCTTTTCAGATCTGTCTCTCTCACGCACCTTGACTTGAGAGGCAACCGACTAAAAACGTTGGCTTATAAAGGGATTTTGGAATATATCGGTCGCAGTCTTATGGAGATCCAGTTGGAGGAGAACCCTTGGAACTGTGTCTGCGATATCATCCAGCTCCAAGCCTGGCTGGAGCAGATTCCATACACTGCAGTTGTTGGTGAGATCACATGCGAGTATCCTTTCCACCTCCACGGGAAGGACCTCAGAGAGATCAAACGCAGTGAGCTTTGTCCTTTATTGAATGAAGCCGAGATTGAGTCAATTCTAGGCATTCTCCACTTACCATTCTACACAGGGAGGGTGAGGCCTACAAAGCCATCATCTATAGTCTCCCCCAATCAAAACACTGTTTCCTCCATGGAACAAAGAGAAAGACCCCCAAAGCCAACAAAACGACCCAGGCCCTCAAAGACACCACCAACACCACGTAGTGTGTTCCCTAATCAGCCGCCTGTAGCCGGATACCAGACAAGGCCGCCTATACCGATCATTTGCCCCATTGGATGTACCTGTAACTTGCATATTAATGACCTTGGTTTGACAGTCAATTGTAAGGAAAATGGGTTTCGGAACATTTCTGAGTTAATGCCTCGACCCTTGAACGCTAAGAAGCTTTACTTAAGTGGAAATCTCATTCAGAGAATTCACAAGTCTGATTTTTGGAATTTTTCCAGTCTTGATTTATTGCACTTAGGAAACAATCAAATATTTTACGTCCAAGAGGGGGCTTTTATTAATCTCCCTAATTTGAGAAGCCTTTACCTGAATGGTAATAATATTGTGAAGTTAACTCTTGATATGTTCCATGGCTTGGACAGCCTTGAGTATTTGTATTTTGAGTACAATGAGATACGAGAAATCCAGCTGGCTGCCTTCAGTTTAATGCCCTCCCTGCAGCTAGTCTTTCTCAACAACAACCTCCTGCAAACGTTGCCCATGGGAGCGTTCGCAGGTACCTCGCTGACACGCCTGAACCTGCGGAACAACTACTTTCATTGCCTCCCAGTCAGCGGTGTTCTAGAACACCTGCATGCTGTCGTCCAGATCGACCTGAATCAGAATCCCTGGGACTGCTCCTGCGACATCATCCCTCTCAAAGAGTGGTTGGACACGCTGAGCTTAGTGGTCATAGTCGGAGAAGTGGTGTGTAAGACCCCCGAGCTGGTCTCAGGAAAAGATTTACGCTCTCTGAATTCTGAAGTGATTTGCCCTGAGCTCCAACAGTCCTCGCTGTCTCCTGCCAAATCAGATAGCGGGTTTGTTACTACATATCCCGAGGTGGGGCCGCACCCGACGAAAGGTGCCATACCCCTCTCCGTTCTCATTCTCAGCCTGCTGGTTCTTTTTGTGTCTGCGTTCTTTGCTGCTGCAGCTCTTTGCGCATATGCTCTTAAAAAGCGAGAAAAGCTACCCTTTAGGAAGCAAGGGGAAGTGGGCCTGGCAGGCATTCAGATGGAATGTGGAATATTCACAGAACAGCCACCCACCTTACCAGAGACTCCTCCTTCCAATCACGTGTACGATAGCATCGGTGCTCCCTCCTCACACATGGGCAGCAACCCCGTTTACAAAAACGGACAGGAGGAGTCAAGGCAGAAGCATCCATTCTCAGAGACAAAAGAGAGCGGTTCGCACTACAGAACGCTGGTGGAGAAGGAAAAGGAGTGGACCATGGCAATCTCCAGCTCCCCCATTAACACTATTGTCACTGTTGGTGTGCCATGTGGTGACATTGCCAGCTTCCATGAAAACGGAATTCTCTGCCCGACTGTCATTGATAGCCAAGGTCCCACGCCCAAGGTGGGATTAGTGGACAGTCTTTTTGGCACAACTTCCCAGTTTAGCAACCTGCCTGACAGACACACGCACCCTCCCTCAGAGTATCCACATGCCAAACAGGATGCCAGACAAAAGCAAATGATCACAAACGCCACAGGGACAAGGACAGGATGTCCTAATCAAACCCAAAGTGATTACCCTGAGCTGAGGGCTAGACTCAAAACAAAGATGGATTACATTGATATGCTGGAGAGGTCATATCAATTCTAAGACATGTCAGATGTAAGACTGCACATCCAAAATGAAAATGGTAAGATGGAAAAAGAATTCATGCGATGTACGATGGTACGGTTTTCCCTCAAGTTGCTCTGGAGGAAATCCCTCGTTCAGATTTTTTAAAGTGCCTTCATAAGAGCAGCCAGCAATGTTGTAAATGAGTATTTTTGTATCACAGTTTTATTTATCTAAAATACATAGATTTAAATTGGAGGGAAAGGGATCAACTGTTTCCAGACTTTGAGATGTTGGTAAACATGTGACTCAAATTATACATATGAATGCAGGGCGTGCGGTCTTGGCTTTTAACTGGTTTGCATTGAAAACTTCTGAGATATTTTTTATTTAACTGAAAATTGTCCTTCAGCAATAGAGATACTGCAGTTATTGTATAACTGTTAATTGCTTTGTTGAATCTGTATTTTCAAATTGAGTAGATTGTCTTTATTGGGACTTAAGGAATGGTTTTATGGACCAAGGTAAGGTCAAAATATGTAAAAGTTTGGGAACTATTGATCATGTCTACAGATGTACCTTTTCATGGTCTATCTCACAAAGGCAAAGACAGATCTGTGCATATATTTATTCTTAGATTTCAGTGTTGCAATTATTATTGTAAGACATCATGTTAAATCAGTGTATAATGATTATGCCTCTGGTTTAGCCTTCCTTGAAAAAAAACCATGAATTCAATAAAGGGTGCTAAACTAAGCCAAGTTCTGCAAACTGTACCATTTTGAGTAGCGCACGTGCAGATTTTGGCCTCTACATAGCATGCACACACATAAACAGCACTTTATCCATGTGCTTATAGTATGCTTCAAACGAGATTCGAAAGAACAAAGTGTTTCAAATGAGACCTCATATGCTGGAAACTAGTAAATAACAGTGTGAAATTTGTCAAGAGATTGCATGATATTGACACAGTCAATTTGCGGAAGACTGTCAGGTCACCCACAGACCTGGAGGAGAGGAAGCAGAGAATATGTGCAGCATTCTTATAGCATCCTCTGCAGTCTCCAGTCCCCTGAGTGTCCATGGGAGGGCATCAGTTAGATACACCTATTCACCATGCATAAGCTGGCTTAACCTAGTTACGCAGCATTGTGTAAGGGAGAAAAATACCCTTTTTGGCATCATACTGTAAAAGCCTTGAATAAAACCAAACCTGGAAAGAGATGAAGCTGAATATTTATGAATATCGAAGTTCCGTCATCCCACGGTTTGATGTTTGTCATTTTTATTTCCTCATTCTCATCAACTTCTTCCATTATTTCCTCTCTGATTGCATGAAATGCAATTACAAACCTTCACTTAGAGCCATCTGAACACATTATCCCATTTCAAAGAGCTACAGTAAACATTAAAGTAATGGAGCATCTAAAGTATGAAAGTGTGCGCCAGAATGTTTTAATTGCTCACAAAAGGGTTTTGCTGTTGGTCCAGTTTCTCTTGAAATTGGCCAGTAGACGAGCTGAAAGTCCAAGGACACGTGTGTGAAAGGAGGATAACATCAGAGCCCCGGATCGGCTCTTATCGCGCTGCCCCTGTTTATTTTTGCTAATGTTGTACTTGGCAGATTCCATCCTTCACCGGCCATCCATCATTTACACAGTTGGACTTTATAATGGCATTTCTGCTTCTGGCATCCAGACCTGCTTGTCAAAGAGAGCAGCTTCCTAACCACCTTTCCTCTGCGATAATTCATAAAGCTTTTGTCCAAAGTATGAGGAGAGATAGTCCTCTCAATGCCACTCCAGTAACCCTCATTATACGCCTCTGCCACCCAATCCCACAGACGGCCTGGCCAACTGATCCTGTATGCAGTGAATGCGATCGCAGGGGCAGTCAGCTGCTCTGCTACATAGTGCTCATGTGCCTCGCCAAGACAAAGTGGCATTTAACCAAGAGACCATGAACAGAGTGAAACGGGCAAATGTGAAATGATTGCTTATGTTTAATGGTTGATGGAATCTAACTAACCAGCAGTTACTTTCTTTGATAGTATTGTGTGACTTTTTTTATGGGAAGGCTCCTAACATAAAGTGACATCATTATGAGGTTAATAATTACTTCTGAAAAATGTTCTCAGAACAGCCATTTAACACAACACCGTTATTATGAATTCTGAACACGACATATGGCGATGAATGTGAAAATGTAATGTGCCGCACCGCGGATTATGTGTTCCCAACACATAAATGAGCCACAAAGTACCTGCAGAATTTTCAATGGGATGCAATTAGTCAGCAAACGATGTGTGCCGTTGCTCTCTGACATTTGCATTTTTACCGGAGACTGTGGCCTTTTCCTCTGGCTGTCATGCCTGTAATGTGTCTGCTCAGACATGCCGTCAAAACCCATGCCCCTTGGGAAATTCAGGGACACCATAGTGCAGACAGTTGTCATTTTACTTAGTTGAAATGCTGGACAGTTGGACATGATTCAAGTGTTCTGCTGTCGTCAGAGCTGTTCTTTCTCAAAATGTATCACCGAACAGAAAAATATGAAAAAGTTTGCACTGGCTTGCATACAGATTTATTTCACTTCGACAAGAATTAGGTGTGTTACTGTTCTGAAAAACCTCAGCAAACGCCTTTCTAATATTGACCCATATTGCTGCGGTATTGTGTTTTGTGATATTTACTGCATGTGGTTTGCAATTTAACCTTTCACTATATTGAAGTTGCTTGTTTGAGAGAGAAAAGGGGAATAATAAGAATGTGCTTGAAAGGGACAGGTAGGGGACAGAGAGAAAATGGAAAGGTTATTTAGAAACGATAAATTTAGTTTAAAATGAAAAAGCCAGATTTTAATTTCCCACAGGTCTTATTGAACCAATTTAATCCCTATTGATTACTATACTACAGTATATTATATTTTCATTGTTAAAATGGTAAACAGCAAATGTTACTCTAAAGAGCTATTTGACAACTAGGAACTGTTTGTTAACTATTGTCAACAAATCTTTAAGTTTTGTTTTGGTGGTGTATTTCGGTTGATTCAGTGATATTAAATAACATTTTTGATTTGAATAAAATCTAATTGTTTAGCTGTTACCACATGAAGCACTTTTAGTAGGGATGAAAAATATCCAAATCTGTACCATATTGGTTATTATTTAATATATAATATTTAATTTTCATTTACCAAATTTTGTATATTTTATATTGCGTGAGTATCAGATGATTCCAATGCTAAAGTTAATCTTTAAAAAAACACAATAATTTAATAACACTGTTAAATGTAACATTTCTGAAAACTTCAAAATGAATATTCACTTTTCATATATTGTACATTGTAATGCTGTGATGCCAAAATTCACTTGTAGAATTTGAAATGATTTTAGTGCTTTTTTCATTATTGAGACAAAATAGTATAGCATGTTGATATATTAATATTGGCATTTATCAGTTAATGTATAAAAAACTAAACAAAACAGTCGGTCGGTTATCTGTCAGAATTTTAATTTCAGGACATCCCTATTTTCCCATTCCCGTCTCTCTCTGTGGCTCACATCCACCTCATTGTCATATCAGCTCACAAACCTTGACTGAAAGATAAACTGAGGTTGCTAGTATAGGAAATGATAAGAAAATATTACCTCACACCGCAAACTTCTCTAAATGTACAGCCGGTGCAAGAACAGGCTGGTATTTTGTATGCTGTACAGGTTCAATCTCTGTTTGAAGCAGCTCTGACACCATGCTGAGAGCTTTGTCTTGGGAAAAGAGAGTAGGATGCTGTCAAACCAGATCTTTTGTTTCTCCTCCTTTACTTTTCCTTCTTCATCTGGAATTAAACTCTGCCAGCAAGGAGAAAAGTTGTGTTTTAGTGTCTGACGAGTGACTTTTTATGCCCAATTTCTTCGTACAGCGCGGAGTGCTGATATAGTTAGTGTGAGTTGGTTATTCCCTGTCCATGGTGCTGAATTTCTTTTGTGCAAAGGAGTGCGAAGGTATCGGCAAGGCATACTGCAATGCTCTGTGCTGTGCTGTGCAGCTTTTACAGTGTGCTATTTCCTGCAGTGGGAGCTGATTTTAATGCATTTGATGATGAATCTAGAATCTAGTACACTGTGATGCAGCCATCAGCACCGTCTCTTAAGTCCGGCATCTGCTGTAGTTCTTGGACATTTATGGGAGATCTGTCAGTGTAATTGTGTGTTTGTCTTGGCTGGGAGGGCATTGATCTGACCCACGGCATCTAACGGAGCACCATCACTGTCTCAGTAATCACATGTTTTCATTAAGAAAACTTAATCAGCCTGGAAGAGGGAGACAAAAGGAAAACTAAGCAAATTATATGTGGTATTTGTTTATTTGAATGTCTTGATTTTTTATATTTAAACATTTGAAGGTAGTGCTTTTTTAGGTAGTGTGATATCTGCCAAAGGGTTTATGGGAAATCACTGTAAAACAAAAGAAGCTTTTTGGAAGTTTAGACAGCATTGGAATGTTTTTAAACTATGTTTTATTTTAAATCAGGCTTATCTATTATTATCATAGGAATATTTTGCTGATCATGTTTTTGCCATCTTTCATCTAGCATTTCCTAATGTCTTTCTTCAGCTTACACAATATAAAGGGAGAAAGAGATAGACATGCACGCACAATGGGAGTGATGATTTTATTATACTAATATTAAAAATGCTGAAGTTTACACAGAGGTGTTTATGTCTGTGTCAGAGAGAGCTGCTCTGGGCAGGTGGGAACTAAATATGGAAAACTAACATAGGAAGAGGCGAAAAAATAAAGCCAAAGAAAAGCTCTTTGTTTATAAATCTCCTATCCATGTGTTTAATGTCCTACTCAATCACTTATGATAGAAAATTATGTTAGAGTTTATGTACAGTCAGTCGGTAATTATCACAAAATACGACAGGGTGATTGGGAGTCTTGTACCAGCCCGAAGACATTTATTTTGCAATAATAGCCGTGTGATTGTACATTATCAGGGCTGATAACTAAATAAATAAATATGTGTGCATGAAGTGTTGATTTGTGTTGATCTTGAAGCTAAGAAAAAATACATGCACAACTACAGCGTTACCATGGACAATGGTGAATATAGTTTGCAACAGTTGGGTTCAGTAAGTAAAAACGTAAAAATGTTTTAAATAGGGGAATTGATTTTAAACAATAATATACCTTTAAAGATAGATCTACTGTGATCTACATTGTTAAATGAAGGTATGTGCTTTTTTTAAACCCACATTATTTCAGTTTCTTTTTTAAATAATCGTGTTCAACAGTGGAATTCCCGATGAACAACTACATTACCC